GGCCCCACTGGGTCAAGCCGCCTGTTCTGGTCACAGCCCCTCGGCTTGCAGGAGGGCAGGGAAGGGGGCCCCGCGCTGCCCCACCAGGCTCCTGTACTCGAACCCCGGGCACAGCAGACGTGCAGGGGCAGCAAGGCTCGTGCAGGGGGGTTGCAGGCACTGCCCCAAGAACTTGCCCCCCCGCCCCCGCAGACCTCCCAGAGTGCAACAGGAGACCACATCACCTCAAACTTTTATCCAAACTTCTTCCCCGTTTGTCTGACGGACCCAGCTGTTGCCCACAACAACAGCTTTTCCTAGGGCCGCTGAACACCCCCAGACGCTCTCATAGCTGGTCGTAGTTGGGTAACCCTGAGTTCAGCTGCACCACTCCCCACGCCACCGTACTGAACACGCAGCAGCTGCTCTTCAGCTGAATCCCCCTTTCATAAGGCAGCAGCACAACATGACTTGGCCCCTGTTGCCAAACCTCCTCTGCTTTGTCTTGGGCCAGTCTGCCGCGCGTTTCTCTCCCTGGGCAGCACGTTGGATACCCTCCGTCCTTGTCTTGCAAGGCAGCGTCCAGGGAGAGCCAGGCAGTGCTGCGGTGAGCTCTGCGGCTTCGCAGCACCAGCTGCGTTTGCATGTGGTGCGTCCTGACACCACAAACCGCTGCATTTCTGCGGAGCAGCCTGCAATCTCGCTGCTCCTTCCCTTCTCCAGCCCTTGTGCTACGGATTGTCCTGGGTCAAGCCCTTGCAGGGGCTGGTCTCCAGCTCCTGGTGGTGGTTCAGCAAGCTGGTCCCAGGAAAGCTGGCAACTGCGTGGACCTTCTGGTGGTGGTTCAGAGACTGCCGGTGCCGGAAACTCTTGCTGCAGCCGGTGCACTGGAAGGGCCGCTGCTGCGTGTGCCGGCGCTGGTGCTCCTCCAAGGATGCCTGCTGGGGGAAGCTCTCTGCACACTCGATGCAGCGGTAGAGCCTCTCCCCGGCCGCGCTGGCCCGTGCAGGCCGGCCTGTCCACCCGCCCCGCAGCTGCACCCCGTGGATGCGCTGGTGCTTCTGGGGGGGGTGTTTCTGGATGAAGCCCCTG